AGTCTAATGTTACAACTAATCATAGATCCCTTTAAGAATAAACGGGACCAGTCTCTCTCATATACAGTTGTTGATTATTGTTTACTGTTTGACCTGATCAAGACTTTTTAAATTTCCACACTACAAAAAAAAAGGTAATAAAAGTACGTAGGATTTGTTCTGATATTGTAACGAGTCGATGTCGGTTTTGTATCGGAAGTGAAAAAGTTGTATCAGGACATGCCTACTGTCTTGAACCTACTTTCTTGGTTTCTGTGATTAGAAATTGTTAGACTTCCTGATTCAGATTCTTCCACTTGACTCAGTGTTGATTTGTATATTTTATCTACAAAATCAACTTGAACAATAAAAACGAGACAAAGCAAAGCTAAACTAATAGGTCTTAATTTATTGCTTGCAGGGTTTAAAGTTCCTTATTGTCCTTTCAAAATAAAATCAATAAGAGCAAATCTGCTTGTCGATGTGTTAAGATAWTTTGTGGCGGATTAACTAAGTTTAACATACACTCTTATTTTATTTACATTTTGTTAATTGTAATCACTTTAAACAGAATCAACAATCAATCTGTTCATTTATAGAACGTAATTCCTTGTTTATGTCATCACATCCCAGGTGTGGCCAGGTTTTCTTTAAACACTGTAAAAAAAAAAACATGATTCGGGTCCATTTTCCTTGGGTTTTTGTAGTCGGCGGGAACGATGAGTGGATGAACCACAGCGCTGTGATGTAATRAACTTTATATGTCYGAGAATAAACATTCCAGGCTGAGTTATGAACTGATTTCCTGGATAGAAGGACTGTTTGGGAAYGAGAAGTCCAACAGTTTTGATGRSTATRGTAAGCATGTRAAAGTGTTGTGTTTACATTGAGTGCGTACCTGCATTTCAGGATTGCTTATTAGYATATCTGGGAAATGACTGGAGGAAACTCAAACTGCAACAATTGTTAAAATTTGAGGTTTATAGTAATTAAGTACATTTACTTCATTACAGTACTTAAGTAGTTTTTTTGAGGATTTGTAATTTTGCCAATTATTTTTTAAATAGCTACTTTTACTTTTATTTTGTTACATTTTAAAGCTAAAAATGATACTTTTACTTCTTTACTTTAAAATTTAACACCCAGTTACTCGTTAAAAAATTAAATATGTTCAAACTCATCATGAAAGATGTTTTTACACTCTAAAAAAATTTAATGTTGAATTTACTCAACAAAGTCATGTCAAACTGGCTCCACTAAGTCTACCTGAGTAAATTGAGTAAAGATTATACATATATCGCTCAATTTACTTAACCTGACTTAGTGGAACCAGTTTGGTTCAGTAAATTCAACAGTTTATTTCTTAGAGAGTGTGTAGAAGTACTTTTACTTTCCCACTTTTGTGAACAGTTTTATGACTTTTACTTGAGTAGTTTTTGCATCAGTGAAATTTCTTTTTACCAAACTCATTTTCTGTTCATGTAATTTTACTTTTACTTAGTTTTTTTTTCCAAGTACTTTATAGATCTCTGGTTAAAATTCAGAATAACCTTCTTTTACGTTTGGTTTTCAAGTTTGCAGTAAGTACCTTTAATGAATGAATCACGCTTTAGATCAGTGGTTCCCAAAGTGTGGGGCGCGCCCTCTAGGGGGGGCGCAGTGCCATTGCAGGTGGGGCGCAGCTTGACTGAATGGAGAGGAGG